CAACTCTTTCATCCTTTCCGGATAAAGAGTGGAAACTGTTGATACCTAATTTTTCCCTCATATTTTTCAGATATATTTATATACTAGTGCATATGCATCATCATTTGATTTACAAGCATGCACAAGTATTTTTCATAATTTTTAAAGGCTTTAAATCAACTTATTTATGTATTTTTTTTATATATAAATATCTATTAATTACCTTATAAATTATTTTTATAATGATTTTATCATTTAAAATTACCATTTACACCCATATTAGGTTTTAAATATTTAATACATTTATTATAATTACATTTGCATTTTTCAAGGCTAAATTGCATATTTTTGCAATAATAACCCATACATTCCTATAATTATTTTATTTTGTTACATCTCGCGTTTTCGCACGTTAAAAGTTTTGTCTTCAGTTAATTGACATAGACTCGAGGATAAGATTATCTTGAGATTAACGTATTACGCTATTTAACAAGCAATAAATAAGTGACATGAAGGATAAAGGGTACACGAATTAAAGAAACGAGTTTCGTTGAAAATAGCCAATTTGGGATAAAGTACGGGTCGAGTGATACTACCCGATAATTATGGACTAGTACCATACAAGGTACCATATGGTCGTGATAATATATATATAAGTAATTTGAGATAATTTTTAAATTATGCGGGTAATTGATTAATTAACGGGTAACAGGACATTACCTAGTTAACTAATAAGTGGATAAAAAATTATAAATTATTCCCCCAATACATGGCAAGAAGCCACAAAATCAAGAAGTGACTAAGTAGTTACTTATGCCTAGGTGGCAACCTAGGCTTAAGAAGGGATGGGTAATTATCCAAAACAAGACATGTACAAGTCCTGATATAATTCAATGTGGAAAAAATGATGAGAACAAATTAACGTTACTCATTCTAAAGGAAAGCAAGAAAGCTTCCTTTCTTAGTTTGAAAGGTTAGAAGCTAGTTTTCATAAAAGAAAACGTTAGAAGACGGAAGCTTTCTTTCCAAGCAAAATTTTGTTAAAATTCAAAGAAGCAGAAGCTTCATTCTTTCGTTCAACATATTTCACAGAAGCAGATTTCGTTCAAATAATTCAAGGAACAGGTATGTTAAGGTCATCCCTTCTTTCTTTTGGCATGGTCCAAATTATACTGAAGAAACGAGCAAACGCACAATTTCCATAAATTTCTCTATTCATAGAAATACTAGGGGTGTCTATATTCTTGATTCCCCATGTGAATTATTATTATCTTCTATTCATGTGTCTCAGAATAATATGCAGTTGAAAAAGTTTATCCAGAAGGAATATTGAGATTTTTACGTATTTTTCATGCATTTCACCTATTTATATATGTGCATTGACCCATGACCAGATGGCGTTATATATGCGTATATATGTATATGGGATATGGAAAAAGGTTATGGTGTTATATGCGCACCACCACCTGATCAGCTGGTATATGTTGATGATGTTGCCCACAGTGGCCGAGATGATATAATGGGATGTCATCAGTGGCTTGATGATATTATGTACACTCATACCTATGCATGACATGAGATTTATACGCACGTGCATGCCATTATAAATGTTTCAGAATTTACAAAGTTATTCAGATTTAAGGATGTGTTTCTTTATTCCATATTTCACCTATGTCTTTTACGTACTAATTTTCATGCCTTACATACTCGGTACATTTTTCATACTGATGCCCTATTTTACGGGGCCTGCATTTCATGCCCACAGGTGCAGGTAGGCAAGCTGACGGTCCCCCTTCTTAGTATCCCTAATCAGCGAGAGTTGGCGTGCTCCACTTGATCCAGAGTTGCTTTTGATTTTGGTATGATACGTTTGTATGTATATGTATGTATATATATATGGGTATGACGTGGCTCAGTCTCGTCTTTGTATAGTTATATTTCTATTAGAGGTCTGTAGATAGTATGTCTAGTTAGGTTATATGTGGCCTTGTTAGCTTTCCGTTTTGGATGTACAGTTGTCTATAGCAGCCTTGCCGGCTCGCCCACTGTATTTTGCATGTATATGTACATATGCCTTGTTGGCAGGTCTCCTTCATATATGTTATTTTCGTAATTCAGCAATTGTTATTCAGGTTCATAGCTTAGATGCATGCTTAGGGGTGTTTGACAGGTAGGACTCAGGCACCCGTCGTGGCCCATCGGTTTGGGTCGTGACAAAAGTGGTATCAAAGCAGTTCTGTCCTAGATTTGTCTACAGACCGTGTCTATTAGAGTCTTGTTTATGGGTGTGTTGTGCATCACACTTATAGACAGGAGGCTACAGGGCATATAGGATGTTATCCTCTCTTTTTATCTCAGAATGTATGATACAAGAATTCATGTTCCTAACGATATGTTATATTTTTAGCAATGCCTCCAAAGAGTACGGCCGCCCAGAAGGGAAAGTCCGTTGCCGGTGAGTCTACTAGTCGAGCGCCACGGGTTACCAGGGCTCGAGGAGAGTCTCATGGTGAGGTTCCATCTCAGACTTCACATACCCCGCCCTTTCCAGAAGAGCTCCGAGGTGCACTAGCTCCAGCGCCCACCCCTATACATTCAGCACCTCAGCCGGATGTGTCGGGTCAGGAGATTAGAGATGTTATTCAGCTATTAACGTGATTAGTGACCGCACAGGCTCGGCGTCAGGAAATAGGTATTGGTCATGCAGATAGGTCTGTCAGTGCAAGGATTCGTGACTTCATTAATTTAGACCCTCCGGTATTCACCGTGGAATATCCGAATGAGGACCCTCAGGTATTTATTGATAGAGTGCAGAGGACGTTACAAGTAATGAAGGCCACTGCGACTAGGGGTGTGCATTCGATTTATCGATTCGATTTTGACCCTTATCGATAATTACTTATCGATTATTGATTTGTACATATGCTTATCGTTATCATTTCAATAAGGTTTCGATTTTTTCGATTTCGATTTATCAATTTTTGGGGCTTATCGATTCGGTTATCGATTATATCAATAAGAAAATTTGCGGGATTCCACGGAAAGTATATCGCTATAAATCTAGATAGGTTGTTTCCAAACCCTCAGCTCAGAAAATTAAACTACATTAATGGTGTAAAATGTCTTTACACTTTTGATAAATACTTATTTAAATTCAAATAGAAAATTAGTGTAACTATTTTAGAAGTGTTCTGTTTTCTTGGTATTCAACACATGTCAACTTCCTTCGAGTGTTGCCACTCGAATTTACATACATGGGTCAACCTTGTCCGTCTTCGTAGCATTCGTTCCAAGACTCAGTCATGTCATCCTCTTCACTACTTGAGGCTTCAGCCACAATGCAAAGGAAAAAGGAAAGACATTTGCAAAATGAGTTTTCGAGAAGATTCTGTAAGCTCTGAGGAGGGGTTGCTTCAAAAGCCATTATTGCCACCAAAAGGGAAAGACATTGCGCAGACGAGTTTTAGAGATGATTCAGCTAACTATGACGAAGGGCTTATTAGGAAGCCACTGTTGCATATTGGAAGTTGGTATTGAATGGGCTCAAGACAATCCAGTAATAGCATGATAGAATCATCGGCCCAAATATTAATGCTGTCACACCTCCTTTTTCTAACACTGAAAGGGTGTATAAGGGAATTTTTTTTCAATTTAAGTAAAAACGGGATTATTTATATTCAATCAAGAGTTGCCACTTAGGATAATTTATAGTGTCCCAAGTCACCGGTTTACATCCCAAATCGACGAAAGATTGACTCTATTTTACCGTCTGGAACATAGAAATTCGGGTAAGGAATTCTGTTATCTCGGGAGAAGGTGTTAGGCATTCTCAGGATCCGTGGTTCTAGCACGATCGCTCAACTGTTAATATTGGCCTATTTATCTAATTTTAAAACATCTTTAAAACCTATGTGCATTTTATCCCTTTTAAAACCGCTTTTAATAATCTGATTGCCATACCACTAATTAACATCATAAGCATATTAACAACAAAAATCAAAATACATCGCATGACTATTAAAATAAACTTATAAGGGAAATCAAACAAATAACTCAAATATTCAAGACAACAATTCTGGAAATAGGAAGAGGGATGAAGTTTAAAGTGTGACCTCTAATGAACATGACCTTGACTGTCTTGGACATCGACAGTGCACATGACCACGACCGGAGAACACTCATTGGCGACTTTAACGGAAAATTCGAACTTCAGTCAAGCTCTACCCTAAGTTCTCGCCTCGGTTTCCGTTCGAACCCCCATTTCATTTATTCTTTTAGCTGCTAGTGGTTGACATTTGGTGGTGTGAAGTGAAGAAACAGCAGTGGCTGTTGGGTGTGTGTGTGGTGGCGTGAGGAAGATGAGCTGAAGCTCTTGTATTATGTTCAACGGCTGAAGCTTCTCACGTTAGGGTTCTGTTCTTTGAAGGTGGCTAACTGGAGATGAGGTCTTCGCCGGTGTGAAGGAGATGGAGAAGGGTCATTTTCCGGTGAGGGGTCGCTGGCAGCGTAGGGTGTGGAGGAGATGACGGCTTGGTGGCTGTAAGTTGAAGGGAGGTTGGGTGTGGCTGATGGCTAGTGCTCTTGTTTGTTGTAGGGTTTTTAGGTTAGTCCTTCATGAAGAAGAAGCCTAGCGTTCTTTTTTTGTAAAATCTAATCGAACGGCCCCCTTATGAAAAACGGCTCCCCGATTTTAGACGTTAGGTCTTGTCTATTAAAGGTGAGGAAGAGGGTTTTTTAGGGTATTGGGTTTAATGGGTTATGGGCTAAGATGGCCTTTGGGCTTTGGGTTGGGTCTATGTATTATTGGATTAAAATTGAGCTAAATAATAAAATTCATAAACTATAGACCCAAATTTAATTCTTTGTACAATAGTATAAAGCACCTATAAAAATGTAAAATCACTCCGAATTAATTAAAATAAACTATTAAAGATAAACCTAAAATGAAATTATTTTTTTTGTTGGTATTTTTTCAAGATTAAATAAAAATCCTAGTAAAACAGTATGACTACAAAACATTAATGAAACTATTTTTGTAATTTTCATTATTGTGATAAAATAAAGTAGCAGAATCAAATTTTTTGTTAATCTACTTTCTCCAGTTATTTTTGAACTGAGAGATGGGGCAGATCCAGTATTCTGAGAAATACTTCGATGACACCTACGAGTACAGGTATTTTTGTTTAATCAGTTTGAATTTCAGTAATTTATTTTGTTTTATCCACTTATTTTTCGTAATGATTTTAGTATTTCATTGGTTTTTGTGGATTTTGCATTTTTCAGGCATGTTGTTCTTCCTCCTGATGTAGCGAAATTGTTACCGAAGAATCGTCTTCTCTCTGAAGTGAGTGATCGCTTTTACCCCTAGGGTTTAGTATGTATTCATTTTCACTTTATAAATTTTGCGTATGGAGAAATTGAACTAGCAAATGATAATCAGCATGTTGTGTGCTTTCATTTCAGAAGTTCTTCAACTGAAGTGATTTAGTTGAATGCTAATCAAAATAAATGATTTCGTGTGTGCTATTAGGTTATCGTTTAGCACTATGTGAAAACTCATCAATAGATGTGGCTTTCTGCTGCTTTGTTTCGTGTGGTCGAACAGAATGATTTTGATATCTGCTGTTATATGTGGTTTAAGTTGTGTTCTTCTTGTTTGATTACTTGAATGCTGATCCAAATAGATGATATCATGTGCATGATTAGATTGCCATTTAGCACTATGTGAAAGCTCATATGTAGATGTGGTTTTGTGCTGCTTTATTTCATGTAATCAAACAAAATGATTTTGATATTCTGTATCGCATGTGGTTTACATTGTGTTCTTCTTGTTTGAGTACTTGAAGGCAAATCAGATTAATGATATCATGTTGCACTATTAGATTGTAATTTAGCGCTATGTGTAAACTCATGAGTAGATGTGGCTTTGTGCTGCTTTGTTGCTGTTAGCGAACAGATTTTGATTTCTGATATTGCATGTGGTTTACAATGTGTTCTTCTTGTTTGATTACTCGAAGGCAAATCAGATTAAAGATATCGTGTTGTACTATTAGATTGTAATTTAGCACCATGTGTAAACTCAAGAGTAGATGTGGCTATGTGCTGCTTTATTGCTGTCAACGAATAGATTTTGATTTCTGATACGTCTTGTTTGATTTGACAACTAGAATGAGTGGCGTGCAATTGGAGTTCAGCAGAGCAGAGGATGGGTGCACTATGCTATTCATCGACCAGAGCCACACATCATGCTCTTCAGGAGGCCTTTGAACTATCAGCAGCAACAAGAAAACCAGGCTCAGCAAGCTATGCTTGCCAAGTGAAGAAACATGTCTCTCGTTTCTTTCCTAATGAATCAAATCATATACAGATAGTAATGTTCATTTCATCTAGAAATGATATGATAGCTTATGTTGATGTCTAGTTAAATGTCTGAATTTTGAAAATGTCAAGTACTGTAATGCTTAGCTCTTCATTTTTAAGTTTAGGTATTGAAATATTGTGTTCGAATTGATCAAGGTTTATATGTGTGCTTGGAATTGGTGCAATATGAATGTTATTGTGTGGATTAAGACCTGTTGATTCTATTTGTTTTTTTATTATGTATTGCTCAAGATGCACGTTTGTTTATTTTTGTATGATTTTGATGCCCTACGTTTTTTAATGTGCATCTTCTCACATTGGATTTTTACCCACTACCATTTGTTTGATTCAGGAATTGTTTTGACTAGTTCTGACCTCTTTAAGGAACATGCTGTTGCTTTTAATTAATACATGTGATTGTTTGTGGCTTGTTGAAACATTTCATATCAAGAAAGCCCTATTTAGAGATAGGATTGAATATGGGATTGGGGCTGAGTAAGCTAGTTAGGTAGGGAGTGGATCAGATCTTGTCGAATATTTACTGGTCATATCAATAGTTAGCTCCGATCTCTTTATTCCAGATGTTTGATATGATCCAAATTATTCAGATAGCAGGCTAGCAGCAACGTTCTAGGGAAAGTAGTCAGATCAATATTTTGACTCAAATCTTATTTAAGTTTCTATTGCTATTAGACCTCATATTTAGTTTCTCTAAATATATTGTCTTGCTATTACTTGCTGTCGGTATTTATTTCATATTCTTTGCTGCGATCTTCAATTTAATTTTCTAAATATATCTTCTTGTCATGAATTGCTATCAACGCTTCTTCCATCTTCTTTAGTTGAGGGTCTATCGGATATGGTCTCTCTGTCCTATTGGTGTAGGGGTAAGGCTGCGTACATCCTACCCTCTTTATAGACCCTACTTCTGTGATTTTCACTGAGTTGTTGTTGCTTTCCGTATTTAAGTTTCTCAACATAGACCATATTATTGAGGTAATGAGTTTGTAGGAAATGGTTTCTTCAAATTTTAAATGTGTAGGTGAAATGTAGAGGGACATTTTATCTGCCAATTTATTGAAAACAATTACGCTAACATGACGTATCCTGTTTATTACTCCTAGATTATGTTACCTTGTTTCCTTGTTGATTTTAACACAGTTTAAATTAGTCTCGTCTGCTGTAAGAAACATAGAAGTGCATGTGCTGAGGTGCCCTTTCATTGGTGATCTATCTAATTTCCTGGGCCAAGAATTTTTGCCACAATTGGCCTAATTGTGAAGAGGCTCCTCTAGTTAGATGGGCTTCAGCTTTTTCCCTGGACAGAATTCTTAATCTTATGCACAACAAACGAGGATAAATATATTTGAATCTTCAGTTTGGTTTGATCAAAGATTGTAGAAGAAACGTGTGATCCTTATCTGTTTTTGCTTGTTAAAAATGGTACTCCCTCTCTCTTTGTTTCAATTTATGTGAACATATTTTGTTTTTAGTTCGTACAAAAATGAATGATCCCTTTCATATTTAGAAACGATTTATCTTCATATAATAATTTATAGTCACACAAAATATATGTATCTTATTTTTAAATATACATTAATTTTTTTTTTCTTTTTTCTTAAATTTCGTGTCCAGTCAAATGTGTTTGTATAAATTGAAACGGAGGGAGTATCATTTTAGAATTTGCACTTGTTTTGTTCTTTTAGAACTTTAAACTACCTTCACGTTTCTTCCCCAATCTTTAGAAACCTGTATAGGTAATATTGGTCGAATTGAATTAAGATTAGACACGGATTGATCTCTGATAAGAGCTGACACCCATAGATTATACTAATCCATTCTGTTTGATTGATAAAATGAATTCATAACGTGAGCTGCTTTGAGAACTGTCCCCTGGACTAGAATCCGACTGAGTTAATCCGTCAGCTTTCTACTGATTATCTCTGTTTTGAAGTTCTTTTTCTCCCCCTGTTTTGAAACTGTGCTTTGAAGTTTAATTATCAAATTAATGTCGTCATTACAATTCTGAATTCGCACTTAAGTGGAGCGACAGTCGGTGAAAATTTATTTAATTGACTTTAACTCAGCTATAGTAATTGACCTTAACTCGCTTACGATAGCGAGATGTAGCAAGTGACTTTAACTCGGCTAAATTTTGCAAATCATTTCCAACCTTACAGGCTGTTGGCCAAGCTTCTTTCGAGGCAAAAATATTTTTTTTTTTAAAAATTAAGGTGTTTGAAATGATTTGCAAAAACAGTTTTGGAGAAGCAGAAAAAAGTAGATTCTCTCCGAAAGTACTTTTGAGAAAAATACGCTTAAATGCAGTTTTTTAAAACTTGACCAAATACTAGGGGTGTCAATGGATATTCGAAAACCGACCGAACCGTACCGCACCGAATCGATTTTTAGGTTTCTTTTTAAGAAACCGTAGGCTTTTATATAAATTTATAACCGCACCGATAATTAGGGTAGGTTTTATATTTTATAAAAATAAACCGAAAAAAAATCGAACCGTACCGAATAAATTTATATGTAGAAAATATATTTATTTAGTAAGTTTAAAAATAATAATGCATTAAATTTTCTTTGAGCCTTAGAATTATGAAAACTATTACAAGCCAAAAAGTAATTAAACTCAAAATACTAATTCCTAAAATCTATTATGCTACTTCTACTTAAACTAAGTTATTTCAAGTATCTTTATTTGACACAAAGTATTCTAGCAATTATGAGTAGCAAACTACAATGTATTAAATATGTTTCCTTTCATCTAATTTAGATTTATCTTTTTGAATATTTAATCTTCTATAGACTTTATTCTTGAGTCCCAGCTTGGTATATCTTTCAATTCGTGTGATTAATATTAGCCTTTGTTTGATTTCTTTTACGCTGTTGTAGAATAGTTGATGTATGTATACTCTAGCCATATTTTTTTTTTTTTAAATTCATCACCCTTTAAACAGTAAAAATGTCTAGAGAGTTTTGCTAAATCCTATAAAAGAACGCACGTTATTGCAATTCTGCTTCTACTGGTGAATTTTACATGATATTAAAAAAAATACCGAAAATTAACCGAACCGTACCGATACCGAAGAGAAACCGACATGATTGGGACGGTTTCGAAAAGTCTAATTTTGGTTATACATAATAGAATAACCGAAAAATTGGTATGGTACAAATTTTATAAAATAACCGGCCGAACCGAACCATTGACACCCCTACCAAATACTAATGGCTGCTCAGAAGTGTTTTTCAAATTAATTAGCCAAACACAAACTGTTTTTCATTAAAAGTACTTTTGAGAAAACCACTTCTCAAAATAAGTTGCCAAACGGGCTATTAATGTTGGCTGATAGTTTCACTCTGAACATGGATTGTAATAGTTTGGCCAAGCTTCTCCAGGCTGAAAAGCATTTTTTTTTCAAGAAAAATGTTTTATTTTTAAAGTTGAATTATTTGGCCAAACTTTTAAAAGAAAACAAAATGTGCTTTTGAGAAAAAATTAACTTTTTCCTAGAAGTATTTTTTTGAGAAGCACTTTTTAAAAGCACTTCTAATACATTTATAGCCTGCTTGGCCAAAAAATGAGGTGTTTGGCCAAGCTTTTGGAAGGAAAAAAAGTGCTTTTGACGAGAAGCAGAATCAGTTTTGGAGAAGCAGAAAAAAGTAGTTTCTCTCCCAAAGCACTTTTTTGAGAAGCACTTTTTTAAAGCTTGGTCAAACACTAATTACTGCTCAGAAGTGTTTTTCAAACTAATTAGCCAAACACAAACTGATTCTTACCAAAAGTACTTTTGAGAAAAACACTTTTGAAAAAAAGCACTTATCAAAATAAGCTGTTTTTTACAGTTTGACCAAACGGGCTATTAGAAACACTTTTTAAAAACTTGGTCAAACACAAATTGGTGCTTACAGATACTTTTCAAATTAATTAGCCAAATATAAATTACTTTTCATCCAAAGTATTACTATTAAAAAAAACACTTTAAAAAAAAACACTTCTCGAAATAAGAATTTTTTCAATTTGGCCAAATAAACTATAAATCAAGTGAAACAATTCCACCCTAAAAAAAGAATAACAGAAAAGAAAGTTATCCATTAGAATAATTAAGTTACAACAGAGATCATCGAAAAGCACAGTTTGTTACAACAACATTTCTGCAAATTTACCAATAACATCAATTCTACACCAAAAAATTTCAAATCCTTCTTTTACTAAAAAAGGACTGCCATTTTCCAGAGTTGAAAATAAAACCCTTCCATTTTCCTCAATTTGCCTCATTGTCAGTCCCCTTAGAACCTTCAACAACCGATTTCAACTGCTCATGATACAACTTAGCCTTATTCACCATAATCTCAGCTTCTTTCAATCTCAACTCCATCCACTTCTCATTCATCTTCTTCAATTTCTCCTTTCCCAATCTCCTTAACCCTTCTTTACAATACCCACTTCTCCCAAAAACACTCATCATTTCACTTACCAAAAAAGGAAACTCCTCCAAATTCACTTCTTCTTCACAACTTCTATGCAATTCTACCACTGGTTCTTTTTCTTTTCCTTTAGCAACGTTTCTGCCCCAAATCTGGCGTGCTATTTCGTAAATCTTTTGATCGTGTGGGGTCTTTATAAGAGATTTGGACCTAGCGAGCTTGTGGTACTTTTCTTTGAGTTTTTTCAGCTTTTTTGCGATCTGTTTCTCTGTGAAATTGCCGTTAGAAGTGAATTCAGAGGTATTTGGGGATCCTGAGAGGGTTTTGAGGAGTTGAATTTCGTCATTTTCGGTGAAGACTCTGTGGGTTTCTGGGGTTTTTGAGATTGTTTTTTCCGGTGATTTAGGGGAGTTTTTGCGGTGGTTCGCGGCGGAGGTGGGGTTTCTCTTAGGGCGTGGTGGGGTTGTCATGGTTTTTGACGATGTATTCGGTGAAAGCTGAAATTTTGGACAAAGCTGTGATTTGTAAGTGTGAACGGTTTGGAAATCGCACATGTTAAACCTAAAAAATGGTACTCTACTCGAGTACTCGCCCTTAATTTGACTACACAGGAAGTTTAAAAATAAAGAAGTTTTGAATCTTTGTTACCATAAATATCATATTATGGTTGGATGTCTATTTTTCCACCGTGATTTTCATGTCAAATGTTTAATGATATATTTAATAACATATTTTATATGTTCAATACATATTTCATGACATATTTTTTTTTCATTTTTCATGCCTATATAGGCCTTGTAATAGATAGGAAAATACACACAATTAAAAAAAAAAATCTCTTCCTTCTCTCTATCTTCATTTTTTGTTCATGTTTTACTAAATTGCTTTTATTTTCTTGTTCCATATTGCTACTTTGAGTTATATT